TCGACACTCTGATTTGGCTAAAGAAGTGATATTATGAATTTTAACTAACGAATTAATTAGCCAATGAATCAGCAAACAAATAGAATTTCTAAACATTTTTAAAGCAACAAATGAAATCACCTTAACAAACTGACATTTGCATTGACACTTCCAAGCTTGGCTACAGGAGGAATGCAACCCCATCCAGAACAAGTTGGTTATCCAATTCCCAGACCTGGGAATAATCAACTCACAGAACTTCCATCACCTTCTTGGGAATCCAGCTTCAGTTTAGTGACCTCCAGGCAGCCCGCTACAAGCATCCAGACACTGCTTTACCACCTGCGCAACCACACCTGACCCTGCTGACAGGGAGAAATCAGGCAGCATAGTGATGGCACCCAGGTCCAAAGTCTCTGAAGACCTCGTCCAAAAAGCTTTGTATAGATGTTGAATGGGGAACGGTGGCAGAACAGAACCCTTTCTCATTCCACAGCATAATAATCAAAGGGTTGGTCATAAGTTCTCCATTGCATATGTAGCTAAAAACTTCAATCATCATGATATCCATTGGGAGAAAAATTCTGAGAACTATGGCCCTTCCAAGAAATTCCTAGCTTGTGCGGCTGGTGATTTTCTCCTACAAAAAGTGGAGGGAAAAACAGGAGTAGCTATCATGGGGCTTGATCCTAACCAACAGAGATGACTGGGTGGAAGAAGTGGCAGCAAGAGGAACTCTGGCCAAAAATGACTGTGTTCTACTTGAGTTCTTGATTTCAAAAGAAACAAAAAGCAGAGTGTAGCCACATGTATACGCTGGACTTTAGAAAAAGTGAGTTTTAATAATCTCAGAACAATATTGGCAAGGCCCCATGGCAGAAACTCCTGACAGGAAAAGGAGTTCGAGGAGGTTGGGAGTTTCGTAAAAAGGAAAAAGGTGGAAGATAGCCACATGTATACGCTGGACTTTAGAAAAGCCAGAACAATATTGGCAAACCCCCATGGCAGAAACTCCTGACAGGAAAATGAGTTCAAGGAGGGTGGGAGTTTCGTAAAAAGGAAAAAGATGGAAGACAGAAAACAAAACCAACCAACCAACCAAAAGAACAACGTGGCTTCTCAAAAAGCTCAGAGAGGACCTGAAAACAAAAATGTAGTGAAGACTCCAACACTGGAGGTATTCATGAGAAAATCGGACAACCATCTATCAGATTTGTTTTGATTTGGATTCCAGCACTGAACAAGGGGTTGGTCTCAATGGCCTTATCTAGGCCCCTTCTAACTCCATTGTTCTATGATTTTATGATACAGTCATGCCCCACTTAACATTTAACCCGTATAATGACGAATACGCTTTACGACTGTGATAGCAAAACGATGTTTTAACACAACTGTGATCGCAAAACAATGTTTTAACGGGGTTTTTTCGTTTTGTGACAATCGGTTCCCTGCTTTGGGAACCGATTCTTTGCATTACAAGGATCAAAACAGCTGATCGTCGGGTTTTCAAAATGGCCACCAGCTGCTCAAAATGGCTCCCCACTGTGTTTTTGGACGGATTCCTCGCTATACAGGCATGTAAAATGGCCGCCCCTATGGAGGATCTTCACTGGACGGTGAGTTATGCAGCCCACTGGAACGCATTGAACGGTTTTCAATGTGTTTCAATTGGCTTTTTAATTTCACTTTACAACGTTTTCGCTCTACAGCGATTTCGCTGGAATGAATTAACATCGTCAAGTGCGGCACCACTGTACTAAAACAGCATCACCCACAACTACAAGAGGCAGGTGTTGATATATACTGGAAGCCCCTCCCCCAAAATTGGCAGAAGAAACAAAAATCTTTAGGGAAAAGCACATTAAAAGGGAGAAGAGAGGTGGAAAACTTCTTATTTGGAAAGAAAGCAGCAATAGTACGTAAATGAAGAGTAGGATGAAATGGAATGGGGTATTCCAGAAAAAGGGCATCTCCGGCTGACTGCCTGGAAATCTGAACAGGCAATACTCTACACTGCAACATTTTACTGCAGGTCACCTTTGCCTGCTCCCACCTCGGCAGAAACATCCACTGCCACCCTGCTCCTCTCCATGCTTCCATTTCTCTGTTCCAAAATCAGCCGATTTCCTGGAGCTCAGGAACACGATCACGATCCATGCCAATCGCTTTCAACTCAGAGAACAGTTCCAGCTTTGGAAGAGGAGAGTAGAAGAGAGGGTGGCTCTCGGTTTGGATTGGGGTAACTGGAACAACTGTCACAGCTCATGGCGGTGTGTGTGTGTGTGGGGGAGAGCCCAGAACGGAGATGAAGGGGATGTCTGCCTGGCGCATGTGGGGGCGGGGGATAGTGCCTGCCTCACACCTGACTGCCCTAATTAGCCACCAGCTTCTTGAATAACAAGCTCAGCTAAAAATATTCACAGGAAGAAAGGGCTGGGGGAGAGAAAAAGCAACCCTATTTGGATCTCTCTCTGAAAGGGGAGCAGATGGCATGATGGAGGATGGCAGCCGGGAGAAGCCAACAGGTAGTTAAGAAAAGGAGACTTCTGCAGCTATCAGAGCTAAGTAAGGTTCCCTTTTATGGATGACGGCTCTCAGGATGGGGGATTCCGGGAACTGTCTCCCCAAAAAGGAACTTCTCCAAGCTTCCTTGTGCTTTACGCTTTCTCGTCTCTGTGTCGTTTTTGGTTGCCACACGAAGACTCCCTCTCTGCTCTCCCTCCTTGTTTCTCCATCTCTGCCCTGATGCCTTATAGTGTCTAGCCAGTTCTTTCCTCTACGTATTGCCATTATCCATCCTGCCCATCTCACTTCTCACTCTTTACCTCTTTTCATACAAGCCCTTTTACACACAGACTGCCCACTGTTGTTTCACTTTGCTCCCTTTGCAGGTTGCAAAACATAATGCTTTTTTCCCTTCTTATTTATGCTTGTGAAGTGACCAAATCACACAAAATCTAGGAGATCTGCGATAGCCTCTCGTCTTTTTTTGGTACACTTTTAACCAGACAGGCTCAGGGAGCGCCCGGGAACAGCCTTTGCCCTTTAAATGCTCTCAGCAACATGCTGGGACATCTCCGCAATCTAAATCCCATCTGTTGAAGATGCTATCAACCGAGAGAGAGAGAAAATCATATGTACTATAACTTTGCACAGTGTTTTCACATGCATACTATTCCAGCAGGGAAATGACTCAGTGGAATGTGTTAACGTCCCTGCTCCAGAGCTGCTGCTTCTAATCAAAGTCTCCCTAACATGTTTTCTTTGCACAGTGTTTTCACATGCATACTATATTCCAGCAGGGAAATGACTCAGTGGAAAGTGTTAACGTCCCTGCTCCAGAGCTGCTACTTCTAATCAAAGTCTCCCTAACATGTTTGAAAGTAAAAACAAGCAAAAGCAAACAAAAAGGTCAGGTTATCCCATCACAGCGGTGTATACCCTTTGGTTCCATTTCACACAATGGATGCACTAAGGCCAAAGGAAAAGGGGGTTGCTTTCGACTGCCTCAATAATTAAGAAGGCCTCTGCAGGTTGCCTTTCACAGTACACATTTCACTCCCTGAGGCTGTTGCTGGAGGCTCAGACTTGTGATGAGGACAGAATGGGACAGATGCATGAGCCATGCCTCCCCCAGGAGGTCATGTACTAAGTGAGCAGCAGCAGAGTAATAGAGCTAACAGGTAGGACAGTCAGGAGATGCACATTGATGTTAGCTTGACAGACACAGCAAAGAGATCCATGTGATCTCACTCTTATGACTGAGGAAGTGGACTTGTCCACGAAAGCCCACATTAAAATATAGCAGATAGACTAACACAGCTACCTCTTCTGAAACTAGAGGCAGGAAAAAGGAGCCGATATGGAAAAAATGGCAGTACATTTGGTTCATACAAATGGTTGCAACGCAGGCTAGATTGTGGGTCAGCTACTTTATATTGCTGTCATCAATGATACCCCCAAGCAGTTTTAACGACCATCAGAATCCCACTGCGTGAGCAGAAGTTCCTATTAATTTAAAAAACCACTTCTCTGCTTTAGATCCCACCCCTGCCGCACCGCTGCATGCCACAGACTTGTGCCAGAGCTCCTCCTCAATCGAGGATCTCAAGCATGGGCAACATAGGATCTTTGAGCCACATACACCCTCAACCTTGTTTTTGCAGAATCTGGAAGATCCACCTTCAGTTAAAAAGAAACCTGTCAGACTAAAAGCATGGAGATCCCAGGAGGCTTCCCTCTCCATCACCCAATTTCCTTTTTAACAGAAACACGGAGAGCTCTTTTGAAAGGGGGAAACTCCCCTACACGCAAACAGACACTTTACACTTTGTCTTGATCCAAGGAAGCCTTAGAATTTGGTGTGTGGGTGTTGAAACTGGACATTATATCAATCACTTCCAGTTTTGACTCTCAGTGGGTTTTTCTTTTTTTGCTCTCTGTGTATGTATGTGTGCAGCCATGCACACATGCATGCGCACACACATATGCAGCACCGCAATGGCTGCAAAAATTGCTCAGCCTTGGAAGAGGTCTGACATCAGACTTCTTGCAAAAGCCCTGGGTTTAATCAGTTGACCCCATCCACCATCTGGTGTCTTTACCAACAGCAGCAGACCTAGGTTTGCAGCATAATGAATATTTTGGCTTTCAGAAGTGGCAAAAATATTTGCTTTAAACAAACACTTCCTCCTCAACCCAATGCATCACTCTTGTCACTGAACTACTAAGATGACTGCCATTACCAAGCTGAAATGCTGCCTGAGCTAATCAGCTGTACCAGCTAATGGGCAACAGTCAGTTAAAATAATAAGTTTAAGTGCCAGACTGCCTGGCTGAGAAAGAGAGCTGAATCCAGTGGGTGGATGAATTCAGTGATAATTAATTAAATTTTCCGGCTGATTAGCAGAGTTGGGTGGACTTTCTTGCCCCGGTCACTGCCTCGGGCTGGATCACTCGTAAGAAGATCCATTCCTCTCCTGTCCCTGTCCCCCCAATCCACCCCAAAGAGCTCCACTCACCGAACTGGCTTCCATGATGTCCCTCCAGAGGGGCGTGTCAGTGTCCCGTTCCGCCAGCTCCAGCAAGTTGTCCAGAACGACTTGGCCAATGAGGTCGTGGCGGGAGAAACGGTCAAAATCGTAGACGCTGAAGTGGAGTTTACGGGAGGGCAGTTCGGCAAAGGGGACGTTGAAGCTAAAAGTCTCGTTGAAAACAGGGTTCAGCGTCTTGCGATGCACCTTGGTTTGGAACTTCTTCTTCCGGTCAGGGAGCAGGTACATTTTTACATAGGGGTCGGAGAAGCCATTGGCGTCTTTGGCGGGAAGGTCCACGCCCCGGAGAATCCTCACCACCAGCTGCTCCGTGGTGTAGGCGTAGCGCAGGCCGAAACTCAGCCGCCCACAACTCTGGGCTTCCCCTTTTTTGGAGTCTGACTCGCCTGAGCGTTGCTTATACAATTCTGGTTTTATCTGCCCGATGCTGGTTACTTGTTCAACCTTCTCCTCCCCTCCGATATGGACGCTGGTGTCTGGGCTGCTCAGCTGCTGCTGGGTCACAGGACGTGGCAGTGTGTTATACCTGCAGAGAGCCAAAGGGTTGAACCAGGAGCTCCCAGGACTGCACGAGGAATCTGCTCTCTAGAGCAGAAATAGGGACCATTTTTAACCTTCATTTTTTTAAAATTAGGATGCAAGATTTACTTACTTGGGTATCTTAAATAGCTTTAAAAACTACATCAAAATAGAGATTTGGCATTCTTTAGTAGACCCCCTGAAATCAATGGAAGTTATATTAGCTCTGACTAACTAAAGTGATTTCCATGTATCTATTCTATGTTTTGCTCTGTAAGGTAAAGGTAAAGGTTCCCCTTGACAATTTTTGTCCAGTCATGTTCGACTCTAGGGGGCGGTGCTCATCCCCGTTTCCAAGCCATAGAGCCAGCGTTTTGTCCGAAGACAATATTCCGTGGTCACATGGCCAGTGCGACTTAGACACGGAACGCTGTTACCTTCCCACCGAGGTGGTCCCTATTTATCTACTCGCATTTGCATGCTTTCGAACCGCTAGGTTGGCGGGAGCTGGGACAAGCGACGGGAGCTCACTCCGTTGCGTGGATTCGATCTTACGACTGCTGGTCTTCTGACCCTGCAGCACAGGCTTCTGTGGTTTAGCCCGCAGCGCCACCACGTCCCTGTATCCAACTCATATTGATCAAAGAAAAATATTAATCAGGCACTCTCTCTACACACACAAAAATACCTGTCAACCTGTGCATATGCACAGAGAGCCTAGTTATTCCAGGGCATCAACTTATGTCCAGGAGGCTTGTGTGTGTGTGTGCGCCTGTGTGTGTCTGTGAGAGAGACACAGTATCTACATACCTATACTGTACTGTATAATGCTATAGCTACATCTATTCTTACCTATCTAACTGTCTATTAAACTGTTTTATCTGTCTAGAGATATAAAAATACCAGCAAATACATGCAAAGGAAGGAGATGAAACACCACTGCAACCTGTAAATGTTTCACCTGAAAACAAAGTACATTTTCATCTTCAAAACTGGTGATTGTATCTCCTTTTCCTTTGATCAGTTTTCAAGTGTTTGCTGGTCCCCAAATTAATTACAATTCTCTCTTCATCATTAATGAACTGCCGTGATCCCTACTTATTTTGTGAGGTTAATTAATGGTAGTTTCTTGTTTCTATTTACTAGGTTTCTCATCTTTTCCCTTTGATTACTTTCTTAAAAACGAAATTTTCTATAAAACCAGTAATTATATTACACACTAGATTTAATGAAGTGATTAAAAATGCATCATTCATTGATTAAGACATTTCTTTGCCCAGATACGAAAAAGAAGCCAGACGTGTGTGAGCTGGGTAATACCCTGTGGAGACAGAAGAGCGAAAGGATGGCTGGTCTTCCAAGTGAACAGAACCTCTGAGTTCGTATCTGGTTCTTTTCTTTTCCCTTGTTCTGTCTGCCCAGCCTGCTCTAGGGCTCCATCCTTCCTTCACACACCCCGTTCCATTCTCCTTTTATACAAAATCCCTTCATTTTCTTTTTAAACCAGACAAAATGAATTGTAAAAAGCAAGCAAACAAAGGGGAAAAAAGCTAACATATTCGGAAAGCAGAAGTCATCTTTTGGAGTGAACACACTTACTGCAGCCCACTAAAATCACCTTGTCCTGCCCTTAAGGGTCTGGAAGAAACTGCAAGCCTTCCCAATAGCAGACCAGAGCACTGTGTGTGCATTTGCACTAGGTCTATCGGTTCTGTTTTTTGTTTGTTTGGTTTTTTTTGATGGCTCCATGATCATCAGTCTAAAAATTAAGCCTGCTCCTGGGCCTCCTAACATTTGCCACCTTCCCTGCCACAATGGTAAGATATACTGTAACACTCATTGCTTTTTTAGATTTTAGAGCAGGTAATCTCCAGATTGCCAGCCGGTGATGCAATTTCGTATCATTGTCCACACAGCAATCCTTTGAGTTATCCCTGTTTATTTCCATATTCCAGAAAGGGAGCCAAGGATGAAGCATAGCGATTTACAGGGAAAGAAACTGGCCAGGAAATTGGAGGGCTGCCCTTTGTCCTCTTCCTGTCCTTCCAAGAAATCACACAAGCATCCAGTTTCCGTCCATAGTTCCCCAGCTGCCTCCCAAGCCAACCCCTTTGCTCTCGACTCACCTGGGTGTGGGTGCTAAGCTTGCTACTTGCTGGTGGGAATGGGCATTTGGAATGGAGCCTTCCTTAGTTCCAGTCTGGCCTTCTACTGGGAGGTCAGGGGAGGTCTGGCTGACCTTGAGGTTGGCCTCTGGGTAGGAATCCATATCGAGGTAGGACCTCTCGGGCATCTCGGGGCCCAGCTCCACCCGCTCAGCCAGGAGATCCCCGAAAGGCGAGTGGTGGAGGTGCGCGTGAAGGAACTGTTCTTTCCGTGGGGTTTGTGAGGCCCCTTTATCCCGCCAGGGGATCCAGCACAGCTTCCATGAGACAAAGAGGGAGACACCCAGCAACACGATGCCACAGAAGGTCACGATCACAGAGAGGAGGCTGACCAGGATCTCTAGAGGGGAGAAGTGGAAAGGTAGATACCACGATGGGAAGTCAATGACGGGGTGGCCTCCAGAGTTGCCTGGCATCCTTGATCGCCAGCTCTTGATGCTCACCTCTTGTTTTCCCCTTGCCTCTTCCAGACAGAAGAGAGCCTGGAACCTGGCAGGGTTATCTCCAACTGCCAGGCTCCTGAAGATTCCGCAGATCAATGGAAAGGCAGCTCTTACGCATTATGATATATTTTTGCTGGATTCCTAAGTGCATCAGCCCAAGCCATCTGGCCGATAGAGAGCCGTAATCCGAATTGTAGTTCTATAAATACTAGAAGGCTACAAGTTCCTTGGTTCTTCTGCCCTCTACCTTTACTCTGCACAGAAGAGCCTGGAACTTTTCCAAGACCAGAGGTTGGAAAAGTTACTTTTTGGACTATGTTCTGAAAATTCCTTAGCGCCATCACAGCCAGCTCATAATTTTAAAAAGCACGGGCGCGCGCACACACACACACCCTTTTTGGACTATGTTCTGAAAATTCCTTAGTACCATCACAGCCAGCTGATAATTTTAAAAAGCGTGCATGCACGCATGCACACGCGCACGCACGCGCGCGCACACACACACATCTGATGCATAACAGCATCCTTCTATAAGTTTGAAATAGAAGCGACTTTCAGCTTTGGCAGAAAAATGAAGGCAGAAAAGTAATAAATTCTATTTGATGATTCCCAAGTAATTCCACAAAAAAATCCTGTTTCTGATTTTTTTTAGAAAGCTTTAATAGCTCTCTTTCACCACCATCCAAAATGAAACAAAATTGTAACTGAATGTTAGAAACAAACACAAAAAAGAGTGCATACACTATTTAAAATTTAAAGGCATAGTTTTTCTGAGATATCCTAATTTCTAGTACCAACAGTTTTTACTGAAATTAAACTAAAATTAAAGCAGATAAACAATTTGTTTTTGCCTTTTAAAAAAACTCATAATCTCATGGCTCCTTGGAATATCTGCAGTTGGAGAATCCCTATATAAGCAGGAATGGAGGGAATGGTGGCCCTTTAGGTGTTGTTGGACTCCACTTCCTATAAGCCTCAGCCTGCATGGCCAACACCCAGGAACAATGGAACTTGTAATCCACCTGGAAAGCCATGGGTTTTCTGTCCCATGCTATATTCTGTAAGTGAGCTGGCACATCCAGTACAGCCAAAATGGTACTATCTGTGCAAAACAGGGAGATATTCTAGGTTTATGTTAACCCTATACAGAGGTACACTAAAAAAAAAAGGTTCAAGAAAAATCATTCAGAGTATGGACAGACCAAACCAATTAAACAAGGACTTCAGTCATTTAATAGACCAAACCAATTAAACAAGGACTTCAGACATTTAATAGCTACCGTGTTTCCCTGAAAATATGACAGTGTCTTATATTAATTTCTGCTCCAAAAATACATTAGGGCTTATTTTCAAGGGATGTTTTATTTTATAGTCATGTCATCTTCTGGTTGCTGCACAATGTGGCACAATGATGGAGGGCGGGGTTTCACTTAACTAGGGCTTATTTTTGGGGTAGAATTTATATTACGAGCATCCTGAAAAATCATACTAGGGCTTATTTTCAGGTTAGATCTTAATTTCAAGGAAACAGGGTATAGAATGCTGACTAGCTGTTAGCAGGGGTATCTACTGTGGAGAAAAGACATGGCTGGCTGGCACATAGAAGTACATTACACAATTTTGTTGTCGTATCTTTCTGTCTATCTGTCTCTTTATTTAAAATATTTATAGCCCGCCTTATATCACAGGATCTCAGGGCAGGTGACACCTATATAAAACCATTTAAAAATATATGATCATTTTCCCTCCAACAAACATGATGAGCACTAGAAGTTGAGCCTTGTAAAATACAGTCAGAGTTGAAATTGCCAAGATCCTGCAGGAGACAGAAGTCTTTTTCTACGCATTTGATCGAGCAATGGAGGTACAGGACACAAGGCGCCCATTAAGCCTGAAGCGATCAGGTTTCCTTCTGTTGAGTTCCATCCACACCCACCCCTAATTTCATCCTGCACACTTCTCCTCTCTGAAGCTCCTCACCTGTGTTGAGGGGTCCCACATGGCCTGTCAATTCCTGACACTTCTCACGTTCCTGGGCAGCGCAGGTGTTGGCACAGAGCACATGAAGAAGCTCCATGGCCCTGCGGTGTCTATCTTCATCGTAATCGCCTGACATGATGCCTGAAGAGAGCAGGGAGAAGACAGGCTTTAAGCTTTGGGGAAAATGAGGTCTCAGGATCTAAGGACCCTGCTTACATACATATTATGCTGGGGATCAGCACAGGATACTACCAGTTCCCCTTGCTTTTTACAGCAAAATAATAGATAGGTGGCTGGCTGACAGCTCATTAAGAAACACAGGAAGCTGCCTTAACTGAGACCATTGACCCATCTAGCCCAGAATTATCAAGTCTGATTGGTAGGATTATTCCCTAGAAATACTAGGGATTAAACCTGTTACTTTCTATACATAAAGCATAAGCTTTACCACAAAGCTATGGGCTCTGGTGTTCTTATATTGCATTCCTTCCCAACACTGGGAAGGTAGTACTCGGAAGTAACTAGCTAAAAGTAACTAGTTCCTTGTAAATGAATTCTATTTACTGTGACAAAGTGTTAAGTTAGCTACATTGTGACTGTAACTTAACGATAAATAAGTGTCCCCATTTTGCAGTATTTTAAAACTAACTTTAATAGTTAGGGGATGTGCAGTCTCATTAAATGGTGGGAGAAGGATACCATATGGTTCAAGTGTTCAGAGTTTGGTAACAAATTTTTCTAAAATGCTGTTCCTAGGATTCCACACACGAACCCTGTAACGTGACTAGTGCCAATGGGCAAATTAGAGTCCCAAAGGAAGCAAGAAGGTGGACAAGCTGACTAGAACATGTTAGGAACTCAGTCCTTTCCCTCAAGAATGAAGAATCTACATATGTGGGCCATGTATATACAGTACCTTCACTTTGTTTCATGCCAGCTTTACAATGTCCACCTGCTGCTAGAATAAGGATGCTGCCTGGTTTTAGCTGAGATAAAAGATACTTCAATAGGAAAAAGGTCCTCACCTTACGTTAAACATCCATAGCACTGAGATGCTGAGCTATCCTGTCTCATATCCATTTCCTCCAAGTCACTGTTTCTTCATTGCCTCTAATTTACCTCACAAGATTGTTGTGAGCTCAGGGGAAGGGACAGAACCATGGATACCATTTGCAATGCCTTGGTGGCATATAAAAGAAATGAAATATAAATGAAATGGAATGAAGTTTATACTAATTGCATAGGAAACCTCTTCCAAGAGAGAATATTAAATTGCAGAGAATAACCTTCAAAGCCACTCCTCCCACCAAAACACCAGACATCATCAGCTCAGTCGGAGTCAGATGTTATATAAAAAAGGAAGCTGTGGGATGTGTGGGGCATCTACTCCAAAGAAATGCGTGAAGTAGGGCAGCACAGAAATAAAGCACTTCCCTCCAAGTAACCCTGACATAAGTGTTGAATGCTGTCAGACTATGTTTAGTTTATTCCAGACAGGAAATAACAAAACAGACAGGCAAGGACAGAGAGGAGACAAAGACAAGGCAGGCCCCTGGAACCAACATAACCCTGTTGCATAGGCAGATACGTTTATGGGGTGGCTGCATTTATTATAAAACAGGACTGATAGGAAGGGTCTGTAGCCCTTGGCCAATGCAAGACTGGAACACCCCACTGGAGAATGCAAAGGGGAGATCAAGAGTAGCACTAGATCTTACAAGGGAAACAAGGGTTTCCAATATCGGATTTCCAATGAAACATTAATATATGTGACAGGGGGAACTTGTGGAGGCAAATCAGTGGGCAGATGTTTTCAGGATTCTTCCATTCCTCCCAACCTCATCCATTGGTCAAAAACTGGAAATGAATGCAGCTTGATGGTGAGGAGGGAGATATGGCCTGTGTGAATATAGGGAGACATTTACAGGCAGGAGCTGGCAAGACTCGCTTACCTTCTCCATACAAATGCCCCCTGCTCAATTTCTGGGCTAGGTATTACATGATACTCTGGGCCTCTTCAGTCTAACAACCTCATATGATGAAGGAGAAGGGTCTCTACCTACAAACCACACCCTTTTGACACCAGCACACCCACATGTTTGACATCCATGTGAAAGGAACTTCCCTGTGTACAGATGTTATGTAAACAGGACTTCCTCCTGGGGGCCAGAGTTCATACTCCCATGAAGAGCTCTGTGTAAATATATCTGTAAATGTATAAGCTAATGCGGGCAAAATCTGTGGTTCTGTAGATGTTATTGAACTACAACTCTCATCATTCCTCAGCCTGGCAGAGGCTGATGGGAACTGGAATTCAATCTGGTACACCTCAGGTTCCATGGAAGCCTTCTTTTTCACCAATAAAGGAACCAAAACGTGGCCCAAGCAGAGTATATTGCCGGCAGGTTTGCCAACATAGGATGGAAGGCTTGGCTAATGGAGACTGGCCCATTCTTCCCCCAAGTGTTTTGTCCCAAAAGCCTTCACGTCTAGATGCATTCTTAAAGCATCTGCAAAATAATTGTTTTATACACCTGTCACAGTAAAGTGTCTTCCTACAGCTCCTTGAAAGGCTAACAGACTTATCGTGATGAAGTGAGCTATAGTCTAGGAAAACTTGCTGTGCGATAAATCTTTTAGTCAGACTCTTTAAGGTGCTAAAACTGGTATGTGTGTTGAAGCGGAGGAAATTGATTTTTTTCCCCCTTTGTAAAGAAGCTGGGGGCAGGTGCTAAGTTAGACTCAAAGGAAACTCCTCTGCCAGGGCTCTAGACTTTAGGCAACAAGATTTGCAAGATGGCCCTGACACACTTAGGTCTTCCTGGATGTGGCAGTTGCTAGGGGAAACCATAAAAGATTGACTGACCTCACTTCCTTTCCTCCCAATCACTTCTGTTTCATCTCATGATTGTAAAGGGAAGGTATTGATTGACGAGTGTCCCACAGCTCTCAAAGACATGGGGATAAAGGAAGGCTGTTAATTGACTACAGGGCTAGGGAAAGGGTGTGTGGGGGGGTGGGCTTACAGTTCCCAGAATCTCCCCGGCAGCATGCTGGGTTGAACATTATGGGAGCTGTACCCCCCATCTCCCCCACAAAATAAATACAGTGGTGCCTCGCTTGACGATGCTAGTTCGTTCCAGCGAAATCGCTGTAGAGCGAAAACATTGTCAAACGAAATAAAAAACCCATTGAAACGCACTGAAAACAGTTCAATGCGTTCCAATGGGTTGAATACCTGCTCGTCCAGCGAAGATCCTCCATACTGTGGCCATTTTCGGTGCCTGTAAAGCGAGGAATCCGTCCTAGAAAACAGCGGGGGGCCATTTTCTTCAGCCAGCAGCCATTTTGAACCCGACAATCAGCTGTTTGCTGATCCTTGTAAAGCAAAGCAGGGAACCAATCATCGTTAAATGAAAACCATCGCAAAAGTGATTGCAAAAACCTAATCGTACAGCGATTTCCTTGTTAAGCGAGGCAATCATTAAGCGAGGCACCACTGTAAATAAATAAACTTCTCCTAGGTCTGCCCTATAAATCTTTATCTTTGGGGCTTCTCAGATTGTTTCCCAACCACTGGATGCAGGCAGTTCTAATTTTAGAGATGGAACGGGCTTTTCAGCACTTTTGATCTCATAATGCAGCTGGCGTCTATGTGCATTTATATGTTGGTTTAAAAGCCAAAGAGGAAGATGTTGACATGGATGGGAAGACAGAGGAAAGGCAGCATCATGTCACCTAGGGGCCAGAGTTAACAAGGGAAAGAATAAAAAGCAGCAGCAAAGAGATGTGATGATATTTTTACATTGTTATGTAGTGCTTCACAGTAATAAGCTTCACTGGGCTGAACAATACTAACAGGTTTCTGTCCCAAGGAGCTTACAATATAAAATGACTTACAGTCATTTCAGTTACACATATTGGGTTACAGTGCATAAGAGGAAAATATTACTAGTGTATTACTTATATCTTGATCATACATGTAGGCAGGCAAATTCCACCACCTTCTTCTCCGTCCCTAATATTAAAACGTGAATACTTTCATTGTAATTCCTAACCTTTATCACGAGAACTTGAAATTGCTATTTTTGGAAATGTGGGTCTTACCTGGTCAACCAACTGGTTCAGGGGATGGCCGTCAGGATGCTTATGTACTGCTGGATCCAGGATGCCAGCCAATCTGGGTCAACACCAGGCTGCAGGGTAGCAGGATGCCAGTAGCAAGTCCCTGGTGATCTGAGTCCGCACTTCAGCAGCAGCAAGCTGGAAGCAGGGTGCCCAATCTGCCATCCAGGGCACTGCTCGGTCCATGTGTTGCAAAGTGGGGTGGCAGGGTGCGGGCTGTAGCAACCTCTGCTGGATGCTCAAGGGAACAGTTAGCAGTGAGGAAACAGATTTGCTGAAGAGAGTCAGTCGTTCAGGATGGCTCAATGACGTCTGGGTGGAATGTTGTCAAATCCCCAACTAGCCTTTGAGAGTTTCTTCATAGTGGAAGGGCAAGCTGTTTTCTAAATCCTCCTTGAAATTGCTTTGCCAGTTCTATCGCTGCTGCTAACAACCTTCTTAATTACATGGACAGCTGCATAGATACACAGAGGCAAGTTATATATGAACTAATTATCGTACATTGTCTTCCATCACTCTCGTCCTCCCAGGCCCATCAGAGAGAGACACATGGCTCTACCATCCCTACCATGTAATTCTTGCCAACTCATGGGTGGCATCTCTTCCCACTTTGATCTTTAGAAGGGTTTGGCCCTCCATATGTTGTGGTACCGTAACCATAAATCCCATCATCTCTACTTAGCACAGAAAATGGGGAGAGATTATGAGGGCAGAAGTGCAGTAACATTTGAAAGGCCAAGGATCTCCCACCCTTGTGCTACAAACAGAGAAGAGCGATGGAAACCAGGACATCGTAGGTTTCTTGGGAGGTAAGTAGAAGGTTTGTAAGAGGAGGAGAACAGAGGAAACTGGAACCACAGGACTCCTGAGTTCTCGGCTGGGAAACGCTAGATTTAAGCAGATGAGTGATGGGGATTGGATATGGGCTGATTCTTGAAAAAAGACATTGATGTGTATGATTGGTAAGGAAATAGTAGCACCACTGAAACCAGGACTTAAGCCTGCTCAGTACTTAAGCCTGCTCAGCTATTGTTAGAGTACAAGTCATATAATCATGGTCCATGTTGGCTGGGGCAGAGAGGAATTGCAGTGGAAAAGGTCTGAAGGGCTGCAGGCTCTCTTTGAACACTTGGAGTCCCCAGGCAAGTGTATGATATAACGGGCTAGATAATGAAAAGAAAGGTGACGCTTAGCTGTGCAATGGAGTTGACCATGGTTCTGTGCTCTTCTGGTATGTTCAACAATGATATTCTCTCTCTCTCTCTGTGCGTGTGTGTGCGTGTACATGTGTGTGTGCACGCGCATGAGCGCATGCATGTGCATGAGTGTGTGTGAGAGTGAGTGGGTGAGAGAGAGATCCAGGTTCTGTTCCCCCATTGAGCCATGAAACTTGCCTAGGTAACCCTGGGCCTCTTTCAGCTTAACCTATCTCCTAAGATTGCCACGAGAGTAAAATGGGGAGGCAAGCTATGTAAACGGTCTTTAGCTCATCGAGACAAGGAGAAATAAACTGATGAACAACACCGACAAAAAATATATATATTTTCTCCTATTCTCCTTTGTCCTCGTTTTTCTATGAAGGAAGATAATGAGTCTAGGGTTAACCGCAGGTCTCTGCTCTTCTCTGGAATAATAGTCAACTACAGTACGAGGCAGGGGTGGGAGGCTGCAAGACACCCAGAGAAAGGAAAATAGAAGGAGAAGGTGAGATAGAGATCCTCAGCCCCCTCCCCTGAAATACTGCTGCAGCTTCTTCTGCTTGTTCTTACTGCATCTCTGTTGGAATCGCCAGTGTTCGCTCCTGCCCAGAATAACAAACAGACCAGGCTGGGTGATGGCATGGGACACTTCTCCTTTCTCTTTAATCACAATCTTTCTCTCTTTTTCTGTCTTTCACCTATGCGCACATCCCTCCCTCCTCTCCTACCCTCTGCCTATCCTGCATGCCTAGAGGAAAACCATCCCCCCCAAAAAAGACTGGTTCTCTCTCTCTCCCCCCTGCAATAACACTACTTATTACTCTAGTTCTTATTACTACTTATCACCTCTGCAGATAGACATTCTAGTTCAAAAAGCAGCTAAATATCACAACACTTTGACATAGGGAAAGAAGACTAGATCTGATAGGACTTTTGCACACATCCTCATGAAGTAGAGGTCACACATTTCATTCTTTCCCCTCTGTTTTTATTTTATTTTGCTTTGTTTTATGAATTGCGTTGAAAATTGAAATACTAGAAGCTATTCTGGCTTCATTAGTAATGTCTCCTTGACATCAGCTTTTCCACCCTCCATTGCCTCCCCATATTCATTTGCTGCTGCTTTTCCCAGCCAGACAGCTTCCCTTGGGCTGCATTTTCTCCCCAATAAACTAGAGATGAGCAAAACGAAGCCTTGGGGCTGCATGCAACCCCCACCCCCCGGCTGTTTCTGCAGCCATCCTGACCCTTTCCTCTTCTAGCAAAAAGGCAATGCACCACTTCTAGAAGCCCACACAAGCAGTGATTCATTTTTTAAATAGGTTGCAGCCTCTGTGCCCCATTCAATAATAATAATAATAACAACAACAACAACAACAACATATCGAATTCTTTTTTTCAAAAGTGGAGGTGAATTTCTGGCCACTTTGGTTTCTGCTTCTGCTTCTTTCTTTTTCCGAGTCTATAACATTTTGGCAGTCTGTAACAGACCTCAGAGAATGCCAGGGCAGAACACGGGTCACCCAGCTCATTGGAGCTGCCCACACCTCATATGAGCCCTAGCTCTTTAAAACAACAGCAAAGAGTCCAGCAGCAATTTCAGGGCTAACCCATTTATTATACCACAATAACAATCTTCTCTCCCACCCCATCCCCACAAATCACTTAACACACATCAAACGCTGCTGTGGCTCAATGGGTTGGCACACCTTGCTGCAATGCCAGGAATCGAGTGCATACTCCATTGTGTCTTCTAAAAGAGGGAGCAACTGAGATCATCCAGATCCCAGAACATGTGTGGCTGATAATGTTGTGTGCCCTGCTACCCGTGTCACCTTGGGCAAACTGCACAGTCCCAGAGTGCCCTCAAAAGAAGGGACTGATAGGAAATCACTTCTATTTTATACCTAGAAAGCCCTGAAGAGTCACCATAAATAGCACATAGTTCAGGTTTGAACCCTAGCTGGTGAATTTTTACAACACACACGTTGCATCTTCCTTCATTGAATTGCCAGTCACCTTTGCCACCTTTTCACCCCATCTTTGCCACACAAAGCCCTTCAAATCATCAGCTCCAGAAAGAACGGGCTCAACTATGAGGAGCAGAAACAGAAACACAGCCATGAGGCTGCTAGGAAATGGGTCTGCCTCATGTCTGAATCTTTCTCTACCATACAAAGTCCCAAAGCAGTACATTCTTCATTCTTGGTGTCAAAGGTGGGAGGATGGGGGCCCCTGAAATCTCTATTCCCTCAGGTAGTTAAAAGACTAAAGGGGCTGTAAAGGAGGAGGGTTGCCATGGGTCCTACTTTATTATATTTTCTGCTTTATCATTTTATTTATCCGTGTTTCCCTGAAAACAAGACAGAGCCTTACAGTATATTAATTTTTGCTCCAAAAAAAACACATTAGGGCTTATTTTCAGGGGGTTTTTTTTTCATGCACAACAATCTACATTTATTCAAATTGTATAATCATGTCATCTTCTTCTGGTTGCTGCAGAATGGTGGAGGGCGGGGTTTCACTTAACTGGGGCTTATTTTTGGGGTAGGGCTTATATTACTAACATCCAGAAACAAATCATACTGGGGCTTATTTTCAGGTTAGGTCTTATTTTTGGGGAAACAGGGTACTACTTTTCTATCTCAATTTCCCTTCAATGAGTATAAGATGGTGTACAGAGCTTTCCCTCAATATTGTCTACCCAAGAGTCCTATTAGGTAGTTGAAACTGAGAGTGGTTCACTGACCTAAGGTCACTCTGTGAACTTCATGGAGGAGTGAAGATTTAAATACATATGTCTTGGGTCCCTGTTCAGCTCTCCAAACATGACACCATGCTCTCTCTCTTTCATAAAGAAAAGTCCTCTATTTTAAGGGTCCTCAATCTGGGATGACCATAACTCAAGTGCCTGACCATCAGCCACGGTTGGTAGGGTCTTCTGAAGTATTTTAAGGGTCCTCAATCTGGGATGACCGTAGCCACGGTTGGTAGGGTCTTCTGAAAGCTGAATTCCAAAACATCCAGAGGTTCAGAGGGTGAGAACTGCTGTTCTGAGTTAAGGCATCCTTTGTTGGAAGGGCAAGCTGATCTAAATCTCTTAAAAACAAAATAAAATAAGGAACTTCAAAAGAGGGGAGCCGTTGGGCTGCCTATCAACAACACCTGGAAAAAAGATTAGGCAGACGTACAGAGGTGACCTGCCCCCCCAGTCGATCCAGGGTGTGAGATGGACTGTATTTTTATTTTAAAACACATGATTTCTTAATTTGCATCTATGCATCACAGGATGTGGTAGCGCTGCAAGGTCAGAAGATCAAGCAGTCGTAAGATCGAATCTACATGACGGAGTGAGCCCCCGTCGCTTGTCCCAGCTCCCGCCAACCTAGCGGTTCGAAAGCAAGCAAAATGCAAAAAAATGCGGATAAATAGGTACCACCTCAGTGGGAAGGTAAACGGTGTTCCATGTCTAGTCACGCTGGACACGTGACCACGGAGGATTGACTGCGGACAAAACACTGGCACTATGGGTTGGAAACGGAGATGAGCAGTACCGCCTAGAGTCGGACACGACTGGATAAATTGTCAAGGGGAACCTTTACCTTTACCTATGCATCACAGGTACAAAGGAAGTTGCCGTGTACTAGGCTAGTCCCTGGTCCATGCAGCTCGACACTGTCAACAATTATTGGCAGTGGCTCACTGGTGTTTCAAGCAAAACTTCTCCTTGCGCTTCTCTGGAGGTCCCTGATATTCCTGAGTGGTCTCCTATCCAAGAATTAACCAGATAAGAGCCTGGTTAGCTTTCAAAATCAGAGAAGAACTGGCTTCTCTGATTTCAAGTTGATTCTGGTTTTGCGTGTGCGAAATCTGGACCCAGAATTGGTACATTTTCCTGGGGATGCATTTCTATTTTTTTGACAATACACGAAGCAGGGCAGTAGGAAGCTCAGAGTAGAGCTAAGTCCAAGTCTATCGAGTTTAAAAACAATTGGATTTCTAACATTTTAATTGGATTTGTGGGTTGTTTTTATTGTTAGACTGCTTCTTGTCTTTTTTAAAAGCCCTATGTCAAGGTTGAAGGAAGAGTGAAAATTAGTGGAAGAAACATCAATAATTTACGATATGCAGATGACACCATCTTACTGGCAGAAAGCAGCAATGACTTGAAACGTCTGTGAGGAAAAATGAAAGAACCAAGTACGAAAGCCGGACTGCACCTGAACATGAAGAAAACAAAAATTAAGACTATACA